GTGTGACGTTGTCAATTCTGACTTATGGTGAACCTTTCTTCAGTTTTCTAGGCAGAGAATACACAGTACATCAAAAAAGCAGATCCTGGTAAAATTACTTTCCTTAAAAGGAGCTGCCAGAATCTTCAAGTGACACAGTGAGACAGAGTTGTGGTTCAGAAAAGTAACAATTCCGAGTTCTGCAAAGAGAAGTAACTTCCTCAGGATTCAGTCATAATAAGGCATCTTGGCTTGTGTAGCCCTCTGATCAAGGAGACCAGAGGGCGGACTCTTGTGATCCCAATGGAACAGGGCAGGCAATCCAAATTTTAGGACCAGCTCTTTGGGGAAACAGGTACAAAGCCCTCTGCCCCCTTCCTTATTCCAAACTGCCCTGGTGAGTGCAAATACAGGCATATCACCAGCTGAGAATAATGAGAGTTGGGTGATCAGGCCTTTGAAGCCACTTCACATGCAAAAACCTGGAACTTTTCCTCTATTGTGCTGGCCCTGAGATTGGGCTCCGGACCCGAGTCCTAGGGAAGCAGAGCAATGCCCTTGGCTTAAGCCCACTGGGCTGGCAAACGTAGTTACTCTTAAAGAAATTATAACTAAGAAAAAGAAAAGCACCAAACAGGGATCTGTTGCCCCCATTCCTTAGAAAAAGAGAAAGAATCTGCAGCAGTGGCGCCAGACATTTGTAAGAAATGAATGGTTCTGGCAGAGTGTTGCCATGATGGCTGTGTCCTATTGTAGGATGGGCATATTTATCTGTTTGAAAAGGTCCTCTGTTTGAAAGGCTTTCCAGTCCAACTCAAGTTTAAGGAGAAGGACTCATCTGGAGGGGAAGAAGGAGCCTTGAAGGTGGGCATCAACAATTGATAACATAGATGACAAGCCCAGACATCACTCGGTCACAGCCCCACGCCTTCACTTGTAGTGACATCAGCTGTATATAGCAATTGTTCCTAACTTTGCATTGATCCATATAAATTAGTATATGCCAGTTTTATGCAAATTGGTAGGTTATTTCATACTTTTTTTTCTGAGTGATATTTTTCCTCTTTTTTTTTTAGTGATGCCTATGTGGCCTTGCTATTAAGGTGAGTATCTAACATTATAGCGGTGCTTCCCAACTTTGGGTCTCCTGATGTTCTTGGACTACAACTTCCAGAAATCCTGGCCAGCATAGCTAGTGGTGAAGGCTTCCGGGAGTTTTAGTCCAAGAACATCTGGGGACCCAAAGGTGGAACCACTGCATTATAGGATAAAAAGAGCAGGAAGAGTTACAGACCCATATGCTTTTTCAGCACAGACTTCAAGATCATGATATATTTTTGATTCACAAACCGCAGGTGGAACTATAGTCTGGAGAGAACTTAGATTATTGCTCTTTTCGTTAACCAGTCTATGTACATTGTCATAAATTCCCTTAATGTTGCTGTCTACTTACTAAGCATCTTTTGTGGCTTGGGATTTCCACAGGACCTGTCCTACAAGGACCAGCACTGGCACGAAACCTGCTTCCACTGCTTCCAGTGCAAGAACTCACTGGTGGACAAACCTTTTGCTGCAAAAGAAGACCACCTTCTCTGCACTGAATGTTACTCGAATGAATACTCCTCCAAGTGTAGTGAGTGTAAGAAGACCATCATGCCAGGTTAGGACATGCCCACTTGGGGTGGAGCTTTAGGCCATATAATCTAGAGCAGTGGTCCTCAACCTTGGTCCTCCAGATGTTCTTGGACTTCAACTCCCAGAAATCCTGGCCAGAAGAGGTGGTGGTGTAGGCTTCTGGGAGTTGTAGTCCAAGAACATCTGGAGGCCCAAGGTTGGGGACCACTGTTCTAGAGCCTACAAAAAACAATGGGGGGAAGGGCTCTCTTGTCTCAAACTTAATCCTGGCCCTGTCAATATCTCTGAAATACACAAATTTGCCAGCAATTCCTATCATTTAGATAGGGATGACATCCAACGTAGCTTCTTCCTCTTGCACCGGTGTTCTCAAGAGCTCCCTTGCTTTACCTGCAACTGGTCTGCCATAAATGCCAGTCTGGCCAGCATCAATGACTTGGGCCTTTCATCTCTTCTTTCAGAGCTTGGAAATCTCACTGTCAGGACTACAACTCCCATAATCTCCCTGTCGGCCAGTATGTTGACAAAGAATATTCTGGAAGTTCTGACCTGAAAATGTAGTTTTTCCAAGCTCTGACTGTTTTCTAATTTGCTACTTGGGCTACCTCTGCTTCCCTGTATCGACTAATGAGTATGCATGGAGGTATGCTCTTAATGGGACGCCTGTAGCAGTTAAATATCTTGCCCAATTTAGCAGGAACATCTTCTTTGCAAGACCTTCTGTACCTCTTGATTTTCACTGTGGATTTCAAGGTCAAATCACATACTATATTTCGCATGTCGTCAGGAGAAGAAAACACTTTGGTCTTCCAGCCGCACAGTCTCCCCAAGTGTAATGTTTCAGCAACCAGGATGCAAGTTAAGCTGGTGTTGGCTCCTGATGACTGATCACAAAACAAAGCAAGCTAATTTAAAACCCTCTTCCAATGAGCTTTGTGTAGCTTGCTTGATTTTATCCTGTGAGCTAGTTTCTTTTTAAAGGCATGTTGGACTGGCCTGGAATTGCACAATGTAAACCTGGGAGACAAGAAATGTCTTGCAGGTGAGAGTGTAGGCAGGTGGTAGAGGAGGAAAGGATTGCCCTGCCCTTCGTCTGCCAGCCTTCTTATTTTATTTATTTA